GTCTTAAAAGCTAAGGCATTATATTACTAATTTTTACTCTATTATATTTCTGGAATTTTTGTGGCTTCTTAGTTTCCTCTTCCTCCCACTCTGACGAATTGTACTCTTTGTCCTATTCCCACCCACCTACGCCTTGGTCTTCCCAGTTTTCTCCTTCCTTCCGGCTTTTCCACCAATATCCTATATGCATTTCTCTCCTCGCCCACTCGTGCTACATGCCCTGTCTATCTCATCCTCGACTTTATCATTCTAATTATACTTTGAGAAGCGTACAATTTATGAAGGTCCTCATTGTGTAGTTCTTTCCAACCTCTTGTCACGTCCTCTCTCTTCGGTCCAAATATTCTCCTCAACACCTTTTTCTTAAACACCCTCAGTCTATGTTCCTCCCTTAATGTCAGAGACCAAGTTTCACACCCATACAGAACCACAGGCAAAATCAGAGTTTTGTATATTCTAATTTTTATGTTTTTGTGCAGCAGACGAGAAGACAAAAGGTTCTGGACTGAATGGTAGGAAGCATTACCCGAGTTCAATCTCCTCTTAATTTTCTCCTGAATCAGGTTTTGATCTGTTGTCGTCATTCCCAATTTTCTGAACTGTGCCACATTGTCAAAACATCTGTTACCTATCCATATTGCCCTGCATTTTGGTGACGAGACAGCAACATGTACTTAGTTTCTCTGTGTTTGCTCCTACACCAAACTCCCTACAAGCGTCGTCAATGCTTGGTACATTTAAATTAATAGTTGGATGGTCTGCATGTGAATACCGCTGAAGTACGTAGTTAAAATAATGTCACAGTTTTTAATATTTTGGCTGAGGACGCAGCGTTCTGGTGGGCTATCTGACGACGTTTCGAAGAATCTGACTGCCCTCTTTCCCAAACCGAGGTGATTAAACAACAGGGTAGTTCCGACATTAGTTCTGGGCCAACAGACTACGGTATTGCCCTACAGTTCTGTCTGCATACGTAAGGAGCCCTTAGGATGGCTCTGACGTAGGCAATATAATAAGCAATGCCAGAGGAAGTGTTACGGAAGCCACGGGTCGCGAACGTCATTCTGTGGCAGTTTCACCTGCCATTTCCATGCAAAACCTGATTCAGGAGGAAATTAAGAGGAGATTGAACTCGGGTAACGTGTGTCTTCTTGTCTGCTGTCCAAAAACATAAAAATTGGAATATATAAATCTATAATTTTGCCTCTAACTATGAATGGGTGTGAAACTTGGTCTCTGACATTCAGGAAGGAATATAGACTGAGGGTGTTTGAGAACAGGGTGTTGAGGAGAATATTTGGACCGAAGAGAGATGAAGGGACAGAAGGTTGGAGAAAACTGCACTGTGAGGAGCTTCATAACTTGAACTCTTCTCCAAGTATAATTAGAATGATCAAGTCAAGGAGGATGAGGTGGGCAGGTCATGTAGCACGAATGGGGGAGACGAGGAATTCGTATAGGATATTGGTAGGAAAGTCAGAAGGAAAGAGACCACAAGGAAGACCAAGGCGTAGGTGGGTGGACAATATTAGAATGGATCTGAGAGAGATAGGATGGGATGGTATGTACTCGATTAATCTGGCTCAGGATAGGGACCAGTGGAGGGCTCTTGTGAACGAGAAAATAAACCTTCGGGTTCCATAAAATGCTGCCAAGTTCTTGAGAAGCTACACAACTGACATCTTCTCAAGAAGGGCTCAGCTCCATGAGTGAGCGGGTTTCCGTAGTTACACAAAAACTCTTCTGAAAATGTCAAGGTGGTTGGTTACAGTTAGCCCTCTTCACTTTCATCATCTGGGCAGCTAACCAGGAATCAGCTATCTGCACGGGGCATGGTCCTTTCTCAGAAACTAATGGTCGCTGAGGTAATTAAGAAGTTTCTCGTGTTTTGTGGAGCTCCACCATGTTCAAAAGACACCTCTACTGAACCTTACCCTGAACCAGATGCATCCACAAGTCTTTTGAAGTTCTCAGGGCGTTGAATATTAATACCTCGGTATTCTGGGATATGACGCCGTGTAGATGATTACTAACCGTCTGCTAAACTATACTAAGTCATCCCAGAAGACTGTGACCTTAGGTTAATTCAGTCTGAACTCTCAAACCCATTCCCTTTAAGGTCAATACTAATGTTATTCTTCCATGTGCTAGTGGATCTCACTATTCGGATGTTCTCTGATTGCCGAGACTTGAGTACAAATAGATTTCTTATCTCATTTCTTGCACACTTGCACTTATTATTTTGTAAAATGTTGATGAAAATGTTTGCCGAATGCAGTAAGACAATTTTCACACTTTCACTCTGGATTTCTGTAGTTCCTCTCAGTAGCCGAAGCGAATGCTGGGACATTACCTTCACAAAGGACAATCGATTTCTAGTTAACAGCATACTCAGAGTTGTGGGAGAGGCCCGAGGGAGTTCTGACTATGGACTGGAGGGGTGATGGCTGAAGGGCCAGAAGAAATTCGAAACAGATGTGGAGCAACAGACTTGACTATGGACTGGAGGGGTGATGGCTGAGGGGCCAGAAGAAATTCGAAACAGATGTGGAGCAACAGACTTGACTATGGACTGGAGGGGTGATGGCTGAAGGGCCAGAAGAAATTCGAAACAGATGTGGAGCAACAGACTTGACTATGGACTGGAGGGGTGATGGCTGAAGGGCCAGAAGAAATTCGAAACAGATGTGGGGCAACAGACTTGACATAGTTGGCTCAGGGTAGACCTACATCGCGGTCTTGTATGTGCACGCTAATGAACCTTCCAGCAGTGTAGATTCCAGATCACCCGAGCGACTTTATCCTTCTGAAGTTAGAGATATAGGCCGCTGGCTTCCCACCCCAGTGGCCGGGGTTTGAATATTGGTCTGGTCATATGGGATTTGTGGTGGACAAAGTGGCTCTGAGGCAGGTTTTGTCCTAGCACTTCGGTTTCCTCTGCCGATTCTCATATCACCAACTGCTCCACAATCGTCTGCAAGAAGTTGGACACGGATATCCAAGGGAAGGGGCAATAGAAGGCCTGTTTCTCAATTTCTATAAATATATCCTGAAAAAGGTGGCGTCATATTCCTTTGAAATATAAGTATTCACTTGCAAGACTACAAGGGTCACAACTCAAGATCACTCTCTGAATTATTATTATTATTAATATGACTATTATTATTTTATTTGTTTGTTTCCTTATATGCATTAATGTGTTTTTTTTAATTAGTCTTTGACTTTATGCTGTGTTTGTCCAGTATGTAACTACTTTTATCTACACTGTGCTGTATCTGTAATTGGCCTTGCGGCTGTTGGCTCAGCATATAAATAATAAAGAATTTAATTGAATTATTATTATGATTATTACGTAAACTCATCTCAACTTCGGCATTGGATGGAGGTAAGTGGCTAGACTTGCCGATTTGATCCCAAAGAGACAACCCCTGATACCCATTTTGAGAAGGCTGGATGGGCGTAAGAGCCAGTCTGGGCGCTGTGGGGAGGAGACAAATCTTTTGCCTCTGCCAGGAATTGAACCACGATTCATCGGTCCTCTATTCCGTAGCCTAATCGCTATACCGGCTGAGCTATCGAGGCTTTATGTATGTATGTAGACCTACATATGTGTAGTAACATATGAGATAATAGGTATGTAGATGCAAGGTTCATACATCATTGTGCTTTCCAATTACGTGACGTTTATAATGTGACATTATGACGGTCCATTTTAATAAGACAACTCATCCGCTGCTATGCAACGGCCGGTAGATAACACGCGGCAGCTAGATTCCGTGGCAACAGCCACGCACGCAACAATAGAGGAATTGCTGGAAACGAATTTTCCTATTGTATTAACCCTGACGCCCTGTAGCGAGCATGAACTTAGCAAAACTGTATGATCTGAAATGTAGAAGTAATTAAAAATATATATAAGTAGAAGTATATTAAAAATAAAAAATCTAATAACTAAAGTGTTAACATATCGACGAGTGTACAAAACAATAAGAACCAAATTCTCACTGCTATTAACTCCTTCTATGAAGTGATGATAAATGTGCGAAAATATGCTTGCATTCAAAGTGTCACGGCACGCAGACTGAGTAACATCGGATTCAGTAAGATGACTATGAAGAAAGTCTTGCTCGATTGGTGATTATGCAACGATGTTGTGTTAAGTTTAAGGTGTATAAAAGTGACTCATAAGAGCGAGAAGAATTGTCTTCACATATGGAATTGTATGGAGTTGGAATCTTCTGAGGCACTAAACAAAACCAAAGAAATCGTTGATCAGAGATGTTTTTGCCTGGAATCAATCGAGAAACCTTACGAACCTCTCCCTTTACACAGAAAATAACTCTTAAGTGTGCAAATTTTATAAGCGAGTCTTAGTATTTTACTTCGATTTCATTTACTACACCAATTAAATACACAAACATTTATGTACCATGGAGAACCTCTGATATGAAAGCACCATGAAGTCTTTCTGTCCCGGTTTTATATATATATATATAAAGAACATACTCTACAAAATGAGAATTATGATCCTTGATACATCTTCTGTCTTCTTCACAAGCCATATAAGATACAACTATGAAGAGTGATAGATATTATTTTGTCTCTGTAATAGAAACCGAAAGAGCTACTCCGCTAATAAAAAAGCAGGTTAACTAACACAATTTTGGGCCCCTTTTACCCATTTTTCATTCTCGCATTCTATCTTCCTAACTTATAATTTAATGATATACATCCGTATGTTTCTTTACCTCCAACCGATCGCTTTATTGTAACTTCCATCATCAAAATTTCTGATGTATTTCTTGCCTTCCCACTCCGAGTCGATATAATAATAATACACTAATATACAATTTATAGAATGTCGGTTTCTCTGTAGTAACTTCATTAAGAGCTAGAAATATATATCGTGTTCCTTTTAACGTTTCCTGTGACAAAATTCAATATTATGGACACAGAATTATGTGCAGAAATTCTTGGGCAAAATCAGTTCAGGGACATACCTTTCCGAGGAAGTTCCTAATCTTCCTTGTCAGCTCGTGGCGCGAAGGGACGTCCAATCTAACGCTTCCTCGTACACATCAAAGAATTGGGTGCCTGGTCTTTATCTAGAAAAAAATCGAACATTTGGTTACGAACATTTCATACACATTACCGATTGTTCCATATTTAGTTTAAAATTATAATTATCTGAATTAATTTTATGGAAATGGCGAAATTATTGTTTCTTGCTTACGTATGTCATGTTGAAATTACTGACATAAACAGCGTTTCTGTCCCTATGATGGTTAATTTTGCGGTCGCTTTGGCGTTTCCATCTTTCAGCCTTATAGACACACGGCTGAATAGTTAAAAAAAAGCATACTCCTTAGAGGTATTAATGAGATAGGTAATTAATCTCATTCAAAGAAGGTAGAATTGAAATTATATTTATGTTATTGCATATGTTTCTTCAAAGCGGAGAGGAAAATTGCTTTTCTTATACTAACCATATTGCACAGAATTACTGAGGTTTTGGACGTTTTCCATCGTCCAGAATTTTAGGTAATAAAGGATACGACGTTTCGGAAACTGGATCTTTTTCCGTCTTCAGGTGAGAAAGGAAGACGGAAACAGATCCAGTTTCCGAAACGTCGTGTCCTCTATTACCTAAAATTCCGGACGACGGAAAAAGTCCAAACCCCCAGTAATTCTGTTTGTCATCCACCATCGTCAGAACCCTTAGGATCTACTATCTTGGCGCAAGATAAAATAAACCAAATTTCTTTGCCTTTCTGGACACAGACATAAGAAAACCTAATTAGAAAAGATTAACTGAAATGTGTACAGGCCGGGAGGAACAGAGACACATGAGTAAATTCTTCAGAAGATCGCAGTAGACCTATAAGTCTGTTTGAGACTTGAAACTTTTACAGAGAGCAAAGCAATAAAATCTTTCCAAGCGATCAGAAATGTCGATTTGAAACATAAGCCGATCGTTGCGGAGATTGTCTGGGTCTCCGTCCTCAGAAGATGACAGATCCATCGAGCTCCACTTTCAGGATCAACGACTGACCTGTTGGGAGCTTAGTGGGCGGAGTCAAGTGTAAATCTATATCTGTACCATCAAGCCACACTTGGGAAATAGATTCACAGTGGCCCATCTGGTGTTGTCTTGCCTCATGTTCTCAAAGGAATAAAACGACTTCTCCAGATTGGAGCGGCTAATCGCCAGAGAAAATAAGATCATAAGGAATCATTATGAAGCTGTCGTAAAGAAACCTGCAACTAAAGTAACAGGATTTTGTATAATTCTTATTATCCTCCAGCCACCATGATTCAGCCAATAAGAACTGTAGACTGGGTGCCAGGTGTTCGGTTTCTGTCCAAGTCTATAGAAAATTTCTCTCCAATACTTCGAGTATATCCATAGCGCCTGTGAGACCCGCCTAAACTCCTGCTTACTGAGTATAGCGGTTCAGCGAAACTGAATCTCCACTTCCCCTGCGCACCTTCAAGGAGAGGCGTGGATATTTCTAGCTACCATAGTACAGACCATAGTCTTGCAACCAGAGAAACGAGTAATGTGAGGAAACACGACCACACAAATTCTGGTTTGCGTTATTAAATGAACCATAAGCAGATAAATAATTAAGTCAAATTATTTTTATTCTGCTAAGCATCAATTTCCATTGTTGAAATATTACGTCACTAGCGTCTATTTAACCAATTGAAGGTCAGTGGTAATTATATGTACTGTTACTTTAACATAAAAATAGTAGATTATCCTCATGTAGGACTTTGTGTGTGTCTCAGAACAGCAATTATTTACCTAGCACCATTAACCGGCTGGTCTTTATGATGCAGATGAAGTATGTTTTCTGCGAGGTAAGAAATGAATTTTAAATAAGATTTACACGAACTTAAGATTTAAACTGTTGAGGATTCTAAATTCATGATGGAGGCATTAGCTTCCTCGAAAGGATGGTTACCACCTGCAAGTATTCACGGCACCATAACACAGTATACTACAATATAAATCACTACTGCAAATATTTTTTTTAGTAACTGGTGACGTGAAGCAGCAGACAGGTTACGGCATTAGTGGCGACACCCGGCAAATACTTTTTGGTAAAACAAAATTTATTAAGTGTTATATTGCTATTATTCTGAAAGCAATCGATGTATTGTAAAGTTTGTTTTGTAAATCATGGAAAAACTACAATTATATACGCTGTTTATTAATTATCGGTTACAATTAAATATGCTCTACAGACGAACATTTGTTGTAGTTGTAATTGCATTTGCATTGTGTTCACTGTGTGTAGTGTGTCCTTTGTTTGTGCAGTTTTGTGTGCTGTGTTTGTTTGAGTGTGGTGTGTTATTTTGTATGATGTGTGTTATTTGTGTGTTGTGTTCTATTGTAGTACCATTGCTACCGGATAAAAATCCATTTGCAGTTTAAATAAATAATAATAATAAGAAGAAGAACGTATTAATCATAAATTTCTGTATTCGCACATCGGGAATTGATACGGGTAGTTCTATGGAGCACCACGGAAACCATTGTTATTTAATGTTGAATAATGAAGCTCAGTTTACTTGTCAGCATAGCTCCAATTTGCTTTGCAGAGGATCTTAATCACAAACATTCGTAGAGAACTCGACGATTCTCCTACATTTCATTTCATCTTGATAGAAATTATACCACGTTTGTCCACACTCAGGTCATTCCTGAAAAATTTGACATATAGAAACAGGCTTCAAGTGCTCCTAAACTTATTTTGAGTTATAATTTTGCTGTTACAAACCTGCAGATATTTTCGCAGAATTTATCATTTTCAGTAAAATTTCCAAACTCACATAAATTTAGTTCCATGCATGTCACAGAAACCTGATAGGAAATATGAAATTTAAGTTTTATTAATTCCCAATACAATTATTAATTCAAGTTCATTTTGAATTTTTGAGTTATATGGCTCTTTCAACACACGATCCTGTGAATGTAAGTCCAGTTCATCTGTAGTAATACACAAAATGTATAAAACATAAAATAACTTGGAAGTAAATGACGGTATTACGAAATTCATAAATCTTTATTTGCACAAATAGTGGGTTACCCGTGCAAGGGTCTAGAAAAGGGAATTGTTATCTTCTTGATGTGGAATTGTCTTTCCTATTTTATTTATGGTGAGTGATAAATTCACCATTGATCGTCACTCACTGGGATGGAGATGTGGGATATTCAACAAGATAGTCAAAACGCTGTTATGATACTCGTAAAAGTAATAACCTACTTTACATGTGACTGTAGAAACCATAAAGTAACAGCCACTGACCCTAATATTATTAGCATAACGTCTGAAATAGATACTATCATGAATTCAAACACAGTCATAAAATGAACAGAAAAATGTCACTCAACGCAATATTAGCGTGTATGTCCAGTATACGTAATATTAAACAACGTTTTGAAACTGAAAATTGTATTCATTTACCGTTATCTTATCTCGTAGTATTCGTAGATAAATTCGTAACACAATGTGTTTGTAAATATGAGGTTATGAGACAAAATATTCTTTCACTTCAATAATGGTGTCAGGCATGCTCAATGCTTCCGACTACATTGTAATACTGTACTAGAAGTTCCACTATTTACCTATGCTTATTAACTGATTATATATTTTTCCTAAAATAACAGTTTGATTGTAATGCACCTACACAAGTACACGTCATCCGTGCGTCCAGTCCGCACCACTACACAGCACTCACCGGACTCCAGACATCCCAAAGTGGAAGTTTCAGTTGGGCGGACGGACAGTTGAACGGGCGGGCTAGATTGGGCGAGAGCGTTCGCTCCGAGTTGCGGGTGGAGTAGAGAGAGGATCGATACCTGCGAGGGCAAGCCTAGGAACGGTTCACTTCGCGACCCACTGAGGGAGGGTGGGTACCTACTGCATTTCGGTCATTGGGGATGTCTGCATATAATGGACTAGTCTGTTCCCTGACCTACTTTCAGGTTTCGACGAGGCACAATATGGCAAGTCGATCAGACAGACGATTGTATAATCTCTGTTCGGTACAACACAATGAATAATGAATGGGAAACATCGAAGTTAATACTGATTAGTGCCGAGACACCTATTGATAATATGGGCACTTTTATAGAAATTCTCTACATTTTCCAGGCAAGGTCTGGTATAGTAGTGTAGCAATTTCAACATTTTTCAGCAAATAAAGTGTGTTCTCTAAAATAGTGACCAATAAATTACTTCTATAATTATGATGCTTTAGACCCAGCCAATAGGTTTAGCGGTAACGCCTCAGGCTTGTAACTGGAAGGTGTTTGTTTCGAATCTTGGCAGGGACACTGGCTACCCTGACTGAAGTTTTCTCACCGTTTCTTCAGTTGCAGGCAAAAGCGTAGACATGAAAAAAACGCCTCCTTCCAAATCCTTTCCAATGTATCCTACCATTCGACGCTAAATAAGCTAGATACTGCTAGCGTGAATAAACAAAACTCTCTTTAATGTGTTAGACTTGAAATTCTGATTTCAGAATACTGTTGATGTCTAAGACACGCCTCAGTTCTTATTCAGGGTATAAATGGCCTAACTATATCCTCATGTCCTCTCTGAATATCTACATATTGGAACAAATAAACTTATGGTTTTAATTGTTAAACGATTTGACTATGACACGTGGATTACACTTAGGATTACTGGGTTTCATGATTTTGTTAGTTGTCTGCATTTGAAGGAGAAAAAGGAAAGAAACTGTAAGCGTGTCAGTTGTCTCATACATTTTCTAAATTCCATCAGCCCTTAATGAGATCAGAAGATTTTGAAAGTAATCTCAAACAAAATACTGAGGTTGTTATTGGCATCTAAGAAGTAATTAAAAATACAGCTTATCTTTTTTTTCCCTGTGGCGCTACAGCCCCAATTTGGGCCTAGGCCTACCTCCATGAAACTCTCCGTTTCACTTCGGTTTACTAGATCTTACACATACGGTAGGACTCTTTGGGCGAGTGATCAGCTCGTCGCAAGGCCTCTACCTGTAGACAAACACAGAAAAACGCACACAAACATCCATGCCCTGAGTGGGATTCGAACCCACGATCTCGGTTTCCGAGGGAGCGAAGACAGTGCATGCCTTAGACCGCTCGGCTACCGTGACCGGCCAGCTTATCTTTAATTCTCGCAATTTTTTTATCGTTATCTGTTTTTAATTAAAAAACTAAAAAACACAATATTCCAAATAATTCTTATGTGGACACAACTGGACGCAGGATTCAATGAGTGAGTGAGAATAGAAGTCGCCCCAGTTTAAGGGGAGTGACCTCCAGTCTCGTTGAAGAGGAGGGCCCCTTTCAAACACGTAACATTCTTGAAAACAAAAGTATGGTCATGGAGCTTGATGGTACCCGAAACAAAGAATTACTTTGCTGGCGAGGACCAGCAGCAATTTTACTGACCGACCGACGCGCTATCTCCGTTATGACAATTAAATACAACAAATAAAACATAATGATTCTCATGAACAAGTGAAGGCTACGCCGAAAAGAGAGACGCAGCCGCCACCTAAGATGACGATGATGATGGTGATGACAGTACTGTGGCAGTACATTTCGCTGTCAGAGAATTATTATGGTAGTCGTTGATACCGACTTGGCCCTTGGCAGAGGTAAAGGAAAATTATCTGTTCAAATATCAGATATGAAAGGTAAAGGTAAAGCTATCTTTGTAACAGGCCGTGAAGGCCCATAGGAGTGTGAGAAGTCGAGGCTCCCACATCTTCTCGACATTCGGCTCACAGATGGCGGTGATGTTGTCAGCCTTACGCGCCTGCCGCCTTTAACCTCAAGAATTTTTCTGGTATTCATTTCTGTTAGAGGCTCAGTCGTCCTAAGGGCCATATTGTGGCTGGAAGGATTGGATAAAACAAAGAAATTCAATAACCTCATCTGGAATCGTACCCGCGACCTTCCTACTTATAGCATATTGTCTCAGCCAACTACGCTACGGTGTTCCCCTCCCCCCCTCACATATGAAGGTAGAAAACTTGAGGCTTTTCCTTACACAAAACTGACCTTGCATGACGAAAAGTTATTTCTTCCTGAGAGCGCAAGCTGAACACGTGCATAATCTTGTGGAGAATCTAATCAATAAAATAAATCAGACTCAAATAAACAGTAGGATCACAGTGTCCTCACAACAGTAATTCAGAAATATGCTGTGTCGTGAGTCTATGATGATAATGTTAACAATTAAAATCATCACAGTCCGGACCTCACCCTCTGTGTTTGTGTAACCCTAGTGGCACATTTCTCTTTGCAGGAGAATTGGCTCTCTGATTCATGTGCCAAGTGAGAGAACAGTGAGCAGTTGGCATTGTGTCAGCGTTACTCCAGCGCCCATCCCTTGCTAGCGGAACCCTTCACACAGTGCCAGTCTGGAAAAGAAGCGCTCAGAATCAGTTCTGGGGACCCGTTACGTTTTATGAAGTACGAAAATTCTTACTGCACTCAACGATTCTGTAATGAGAACATGACTGTTCAACTTCACTATATTTCCCCTTATATTTTCTCTTTTAGTCAAATATAATTTTACCGAATTTTAAATTCATGTTAAACAAAGTTTATCGCATTGGTTCAGAATAAAAATATTGTGCAAAACCATGTAAAAATAATTCAGAATCCTGTTAAAATTATTTATACATAAAAGTTTACTTAAAACTATCATTTTTATAACATTGAAATTTATTAAATTTTCAGTCATTCCGCAAGCAGCAACTCATCATCATGTCCTCGTAACCTCTTCCACGTATAGAACATAGTTCGCAAGGATTTCTTGCTACAAGATCTCACGCTTTAGCCATAGCGTGTTTCAGTAAGTCTCTGGCACACAAACAATGCATTAAATTCAATAATTACCATTTACTAAACTTATTCCTAAGTATTTCGCCAGTTACTCGACTTTACCTAATGGTACATCTGTACAAAAATCACCCAAGGTTATTATTATTATTATTATTATTATTATTATTAGAGTAGGAGTCAGGATAGCGTAGTCGGTATAGCGACTGGCTACTGGCTGGACGACCGAGAGGTCGGAGTTCGAGTCCCGGTAGGGTCAAGAATTTTCGCTTCTCCTTATCATCCAGACCAGCATCCTATACCATGGATACTGGGAGCCCAATCCCGGAGGTAAAGCAGCCGGAACGTGAAGCTGACCATTCATCTCCAAATATTTCAGAGGTCAAGAAAATGTGGCTCTATACATCTACTCCCCCATACGTCTTCATGGTGTAGTGCATAATTAGTTAAGCAGAGGGAAACTTTTTTTCTGTGGCGCTACAGCCGCAAGTTGGGCCTAGGCCTACCTACATGAGCTCTCCCTTCACTTCGGTTTTTCTAGATCTTACACATTCGGTAGGACTCCTTGGGCGGGTGATCAGCTCGTCGCAAGGCCTCTACCTGTAGACAAACACAGAAAAACACACACCAACATCCATGCCCTGAGTGGGATTCGAACCCACGATCCCGGCTTCCGAGCGAGCGAAGACAGTGCATGCCTTAGACCGCTCGGCTACCGTGACCGGCCAGGGAAACTTTACCTTACCATTATTATTATTAGAGTGGCGACAGACAGCTTATTTCCATCTGTCCAACCACGACTGTTAATCTTCAGGTGTTGCATCCTGTTCTATTGTGTACACAAAATACGAGGGTTGGAACTTTAATAGTGGCAACTATTTATTTACAACTGATACAAAATAGATGCATGTTTCAAAGTTTTACTGTCCTTCAGTGTAGTCACCAACATTGTGTACACTCCGTTGCCAGTGATGTGGAAGTCGTAGGATACCTTTAGCAGCGCCTGTTGTGTTGATAGTTCGAATGGAGCGGTCTACTGCCTGAAGAATCTCTGGAACAGTTCTGAAGCGAATGCCACGAAGTGGTTCCTTCATCTTAGGAATCAAGTCGAAGTCACAAGGGCTTAAGTCCGGGGAGTATGGTACAGCACTTCCCAGCCACAGCTTGCGCTGCATGAGGCCGAGCATTGTCCTGCAAAATAATGGGTGGGTTCTGCAGAAAGTGTCGCCGCTTCTTTCTCAAAGCTGGTCGCAGGTTGTGTTCCAAAAATGAACAGTAATACTGCGCATTGACGGTCTGCTGTCGGGGAACGGTATGCGTTAGGATAACACCATCACAGTCGTACACGAGAATCACCATAACTTTCACATTGCTGGGTTCTAACGAACTTTTGATTTTCGTGGTGACCCGTAATGACGCCATTCATTCAATTGGCGTTTCATTTGTGGCTCGTACGATTTGGCCCATGTGTCATCATGGCCTAAGAAAGCCTCTCCTTCGCGCTCATAGCGCTCCAAGTGGTTACGAGCAGCGTCGTATCATAGCCATTTCTACATTTCCGTCAAATCATGCGGATCCCATCGTGATGCAGTTTTTATCATGCCCAGGCGTTCCTTCAGAATGTGAAGCATCTTCGTATGCGCTAATCCTGTCTCTCGGGCCAGCTCACGAATCGTATGGCGTCGATCACTCTCCAGTAACGTGGAAAGAGCATACACTTCTTCTTCACTGACACTAGGATGACCTGGCCGACGCATGTCTGCCACATTTTGGCGTCCCTCGTTGAACGCTTTTACCCACCTTGCCATTGTTCTGTAAGGCAATGCAGATTCCCCGCAAGCCTCTTGAAGACCTTGATGACACTGTCGTGCAGTACGGCCTCTGGCACATTCAGTCTTTATTTAACTTCGTTGTTCCTGTTTGGAAAAGATCGTG